TTTTATCATTAGATAAATTCAGAACATATTTAAATTATATTTTACAAAATGTGTTCAAACCTATGGATTTCTTTTATTTAAAATTCGGAAGTTAATTTTTATTATTTCCCATCATTTGAAATTTGTCGTAGGCACAATATTTTTCTCATATCTTGTCGTTTTATATAAAATTCAAACGTACAGTTTGTAGATAACCACAAACAGCTAATAGTTATACCCGTTAGAGCTAGATTAAGAGGGGGGGGGGGGAGGCTCACGAGATCTGGCAACATTTTTATTTTAGAATCAAACCAAAAAAGTGCTTAGGTTTTGAAATTTTATATCGACAAGTTGCTGATTGCGTAAACTTTTTTTTAGAATCAAAGAAAATCCCGTTTAAGGTTTTGAAATTTAATAGTTTTTTTTAGAAAGAGGGCATGCGTAGAGTTTGTAGCCCCGGGCCTCACCATAGGTTAATCCGGCCCTGACCCCAGTGACAAAATAGTAGGCCGCAGGGTCATAAATAAATCTAGCCACAATTATCACTTTCTTCATCTGAAAAAAAATATGAATTTTGAATTCGCTCTATAATGTCATGGGGATAACTTTGCTATATGCGCATGAGTTCCAATCGCGACAGACAGGAGACTGCCATGAGCATGCAACAGTTTTGACAGAAAAGGAAAAATAATTTGCATTTATTTTTTCCAACACAAACGCGCCTTACCATAGTCGTCGAATAATAGAAAAGTTGACAATTGCTAAAACTTGCGGTATTACAATACAACACTAATTATAATGATTTTGCTAATACTTTTACCGATCGTTCGTTCCTAATATAGACTTTTCGCAGGGGCCACTTGTCGCGTTTAGCGAAAGCGTTGGCTATGCTCTATAATTATTTTGTTTAATTTAATCCATGCAACGTTCGACGGTCCAGAATTGGTACATAATGTAGATTTCAATGTGCATATATCTACTTTTATTTAAATACGCAAACTGATAAATCTTTAATTATTGGAACACTAATATGTGTCATCTATCATTGTTTTATTTTAAACAAATGACATGAGCCACCTATGACTGCATTTTTTAATAACATTTGATAATATACGGATCGTCTCTGCCCCTTATAAGATTTACTATTATACAATTTTTTTCTGTAGTTGATCATTCGTTTTTTATATAATTTATTGTTTGTAAGTATGTGATATGAATAAAGCCATTATAATAATATTTAAAAAAAATATTTTGTCTCAGTGTGATTTATATAAAATATGGATAGATTTTCATGTTATATCATACATTGCATATTGAAGTAGACATATCTCGAAAACAAGTAAATAAATATAGGAAAAAACTATATTACCAAAATTACTCAAAATTTAACAATCTTTCAGATGGACTGTATTAAAAAATTTTTTAGTATCGCCACGCCATCTATACAGAAAGATTTGAACTAACAATTCTAACTACAATTTGAAGCTACTCGAGGGACCTAACAACCTCAATTTCTGAATCTAAAATAATTTTCTTCATTTCGGAGATATTGGCAGCGGGAGTGGTAAATGGCACACCCTGTATATTTTTAGAATTCGCTGTTCAGTGTCGAGCAGGTGAACTTTTAAATGAACAAATAAATAACAAAAAAAAAGGAAATAAGGTATCATTATTACCAAAATTGCAGATATCTATCTGTTGGATATGTCAAAACAAGAATATAACCTTCTAAGAATAATGTAGTTTTTATCGATATATGTATCTATTTACTGTTCTATACTTAACAATTTTTGTATCCCTCTCAAATGATACGCCCATGGAATCGCATTCTCGACACGTTAGGTTGGTGTAGTGACCGTATTCTTATATTCATCGCTTTGGTGCCACGGATATCACCAATGTATTATTATTGGTCCGTTTAAACAATCCCAATTTGTGATTGGCTCTACACATCCATTGCATAAAAATGAACGTAGATAACGTAAGTAAAATAAATGAGTACGTTTAGCCGTCGTGGATAGGCAACCATGTATACACCAATGTGTTTTACGTGTTGCAGAACAATTTTATATCTAGTGAAATAAACTTTTTTGCGGCACCATTCTGATAATTAGATTTAGTACATATCATTAGATGAATCAAGAAATTTGCTCTACTTTCACAATCAACTATGTGCTTTAAAAACTCTGATTTTGTCCAACACTGATCAATTGCAAACTATTCCATCAAAATACATTTATTTTTATTTCTTTTGAATTAAATGGTTAAATTAGAAATTATTAGATCAATAAGATCAATATTACATTAAAAAACAACATTCCGCTTCACCGGCTGGCAACCGGTGTCATTTTTCACAAGATTTTATTCAATCTGCAGCAATCTCGAATGTAGCATACAATAGGCCTAATTAGGCCGCAGTGCTATGGGACTTTTAAAGGACCTAGCATAGCAGTTTTGTCACTGTTCATTGTAAATTATTGGTGGTGCAAATTTTTAGTAGATAGTACGTCGTGTAATGTTGATTGCCTATATCCGGCGGTCACATGGCTTGTAATTATTTATACCCTGTGGATAACCCTAACTTGTCTTGCCAGTCCTCTCAAACGCACCACAAAAATAAAACAGATTAAAAACAATTTTAATCAGAATTTATTTCAAAATTTCATTTGAATTTTTTTCAAAACTATCATCTCACAGTTATCTACTATTGATACAATTTCAAAAAAAAAAGAAAACCTAATTTCCCAGAACCTAAAAATGAAAGGAAATAAAATTTCCCTAAGTACTCTTACAAACTCCTTTTATTAGTTTTAAAAACAGGATCTGATTGCACATTGTTAGAGAGGTTAAAAAAAAAACAAAAAACCAAAAATTTTGAAACGCTTTACAATATGTTTTAAAATACCCTAGCTGAATCATTTTTTTATGGCTTCGAACATAAGAAAATATTCTAGCTAACAAAGCGAAGAGTATCGTGCCCTAAACCTAATTAGGTAAGATCTCTAATAAAGCCCACACAAAAATCATGAAAATAAAAATTAAACATTTTTTAAAGGAACTCCCAATTTTGTGACAGAACAGAAGATTTAAAACGACCTAATCACAAAAAAAAACAACGAATGGTACAGGGTGGTTCACTACAGTTTGACTCCCCCATTAACTTTTTTTGTTTTTAGAGATAAAAAAAATTTGAAGTACAAAAGTTGCGTGATTTTTTATGAAGTTCTTGAAAATGATGGTAGAAAAACAAATGAAGTCCAAACAAAATGGCCGTAGATGTTAACTTTGTTAATTTAAATCGAACATCCTGTATATTTTTACAAATTTGGATAGAACGTACCCTGTCGAGCATAGTCATATAGGTTTGTTGATTTTATCTCTAACAATAAGTGAGATTCTAGTAAAAAATTTAAAAAAAGGTTTTTTATTATGAAAATAAGACATCTTGCAATTGTTAGACCTCTTCCAAGCATTTCTGCCTTTTTTCCAATTACGTAAGGATTTACAGATTTACAGTAATAAGTATAGGAATTTTTCACTAAATCTCACTAATTAGGCCGTGAGAGGCCTACTTACTCATGGACAATGTTATGGTAGGCTGTGACAGTGACAGGTAATGTCATTACAATATTGTTATTGTTTGACAGTTTGTATTATTATTTAATTGAAATGCGTTACACAAAAGTAGAAAATTAAAATATTATTAGGAATTAAAATAGAGTAAAGTTCTTCTCTACGCTCTGTTTTAATTCCTATAATAATATTTCAATTTTACACTGCTGTGTAACCCATTTTAAGTAAATAATAATATAAACTGTCAAACAATAACAACGTCATGACATTACCTGTCACTGTCACAGCCTACCATATAACATTGTACATGAGTAATTAGGCCTCTCACGGCCTAATTAGTGAGATTTAGTTATACCTATACTCATTTTGGACCGTATCAATGTCAGGATCCATTACAACAAAATCTGTAAATCCTTACGTAATTGGAAAAAAGGCGGAAATGCCTGAAAGAGGTTGAACAATCGCAAGATGTCATATTTTCTCAATAAAAAAAAAACATCTTGGACCCCACAAACCCAGCGACTATGCTCGACAGGGAACATCTATCCGAATATGTAAAAATATACAGGGTGTTCGATTTAAATTAACATCCGCGGCCATTTTGTTTGGATTTCATTTGTTCTTCTACCGTTTTCGAAAACTTCATAAAAAATTGTGCAACTTTTGTTATCACATTGTTTTATTACTCTAAAAACAAAAAAATTTATGGGGCGGAAGGTTAAAATATAGTGAATCACCCTGTACTAATGTTAAACAAAACAATATTTAGAATAGATTTTTGTGTTTCACCCAGTTGGATAAAATATCGCATAAAAGTTACCTTTCTATCGGGTATCTAAAAGCCATATACAGGGTGTTTCATAATGATGCGCAAATATTTTAAGGTGTTTAAATAGTAATTTTATGGGGCAGGGGTACTTCCAACGCATTTTTTCGATTTGAGCCTTCCCCTTTGAGAAAATATTTAAATCTCAAAATGACCAAAAAAAAATTTTTTATTAAATTTTTATTTCATATTTGCTTAGCTTTTCCTATTGATAAAAAAGAATTTTTGCAAAAAGCATGTCAAAAATGATGATCGGTTTTGGTAACTGTTAACTAATTATTTGTACCTAGGTAATCAGCAAGGAAAAATAATTAATTTTTTTGCTCGTAAACCATTAAGTATACAAAAAAAATGGAAAGCAAAAAAAATTTCTAAATAAAATGTAGTATTACAAGCTATTTTTCTTGTTAGAATTGGCCAACGCAGAAAAAAGTTGTGAGAGAAATAAAACCAAGGGGTGCTAATTTAAATTTTTAAGTTTAACCGTTTTCGTGAAAAAAAAATAAAAGCTAATTTTTTCGGCCATTTTGAGATTTGAATATTTTCTACGGAGGGGCTCAAATCAAAAAAATACATTGGAAGTACTCTCCTAAAATTACTTTCTAAACGCCTCCTTAAAATATTTGCACACCATTACGAAACACCCCGTATATTCATATACGAACATTATTTAACTTATTATTTTTTTTTGTTATACAAATACAAGCCCCAAACTATACATTTTATCTGTTAATAATATAAGTTTACAAAGCATTTCAAAAATTTAAGAGCGTGTTGTTTTTTTTAAATAAACCTCTGTGGAAAAAATAACTATATATTCAAAAACAGTTTTCTAAAACACAATATGCTAAAACGCTAAAATAAACTTAAAAAAAAAGTATATATTAATCTTTGGGTCAGTCTTAACACTCTTAAATTTCTGAGATGCGTGATATTACAGACTAACTGTCTGCCGTGCACGTGTTGAGTGCCGTTACCATTTTTTTTTATGTAATACATAAAAATTCGAAAATAATTTGAACTATTTTTAATAAATTATTACATTTTCTTCTGTACACCTACTAGAAAAATATATACAAATTCCAAATCACTACGACTTTATCACCCTGAATACTTTGCTGACAGCGACGTTACAAATCGGACACCTCTTTCTAGTCTTTATCGTACGCTTCGCACACCTATAACAACAACATTGATGCGCCACCTTCGAGTGCAGGAATATGGCGTCTTTGGGTGCGTCGTTACAAAAGATGCACAGTTCCGTGTTTTCGGAACCGTTCCCTTTCAAACCTTCGCCATCGGTCGTGTTCGATTTCTCTGTGATCGAAGAAATAAACGACGTGCTGCCGATTTCAGACCCCAAATCCGACGTCTGACTTTGCGACAGAGGCTGGTCGTTTTCGGGTAGTGCGATTTTACAAACTTTGCTCGCATGCGGCTTTACGTCGAAATCAGACAAACTACTCTCCGATAAGTAACGCTTGCGCCCTTTCCCAACATTACGATTCGTATTCGTGCTAGAAAAACTACTGCTACTTTCCGAGACTTTCGTTTCTTGAACCCTCGTTTGACTTTCGTTATTATTACCACCTATTTGCTCAAGACTAGAAGACGTAACATCTTCGGATGACTTTTTCTCGATATCATCCTCAGCGTTTTCGCTCAATTCGGTTATAGTTGAAATTTGCGACGTACCTGATGGTAGGCTGTCCGGTAAAACGATTTGCGCCATGCCGAAAACCTGCCACTCCTGACTAGAACCTATTCCGGAATCCTGCGACAGATTATTCAAACACGTCCTTAGAACGTCCAATTTGACCGGCGGTTCCTTCTGCTTGTCCTTTCTCGATTTCTTGTTCCTTTTGGGCCTCGGCGGATAAAATTTCTTTCGATCCTGCGAATTAATTACAAAAACGATTAAATATTAACGATAATTTTAGTTTTTCCTAAGATGACGCGTGTCCCTCAATCAGTGCAGAGTAGTTAGTGATATTTCCGTGTACCTTCTTCCACAAAAATCAATGAATTTTTACAGAAAATAATTGTTATTATAAAGTTTTTTTAAGGTCCTATTAGTTGCATGTTTAATCTTTTTCAATTTTTTATATCCCAATTAAGTATTTATTTGATAATACATTCATGTGAATGCAACTACTGGGACAAATTGTATGACAATGAAATTTTACACAATGTTTCATCTCATTACAACAAAAATTACATCCAACTGACAATAAATTAATTTGTATCCCATATTTTTAAATAGGTGTGTTTTAAACATAATAATGTATGAAAAATGAAGGAGCATTTTCCATATTCGAATTTAAGGATATTTTGTTATGTAAACATTTACCATTAAAGCCCTCTTTTTCAAGATACATAATGTTAAGGTCTAAAAACAATGTATGGATAAAATGAAATGAAAAAAATTTCTTTTTGTAATTTTACGAAGACAAAAACTTAAAAAAAAAAAATTTTTTCCAGTATCACTTTATATCGCCACTCGAACCTACTGTCAAATGTAAAATAGCTCTTTTCTTTTATTCATGATTTCGGAATTATAACGTGTGGCGATACGAAATCTAGCAACCTGATTGGTTTCCATTGGATCGTAACGCGTTATGATTCTGAAATCATGAATAAAAGAAAAGGGCTAATATTTTTCTTTATGTAATAAATAACTGAAGAATCAAAAGATTTGAAGTACCTAGTTCTTGCATTTAAGCGACGATATGAAATGTTAAGGTCTTCTGCTTTGTTAGGTCAAAAAATGTTTTTTTTTTTTCATAAATCATCTCTAACGGTCATGTAGAACACATGGCCAAAAAGATTTTTTGAAATACAATGTCATTATAAAATTACAGGCACAGAACAGTGTTCCAGCGGGGCACTGCCGAATAATCGTGGGTACAATTATTTTCGTGTAATATGTTCTCGAACTTTAAAAAGTGTTTCAGTCAAAACAGCATTTTTCAAAAAGGCACCCATCATATCTCGAAATTTTTTTAACCGATTTTGCTGTAATTCCACACACATACTGTATATGTACAGTTTTTAACTGAACTAGAATAATTAAGATATCTTAATAGTTTTTTCTAAACTTAAATGTCGAAAAAAAATTACTTTTTTTTCAAAACTTGGGCAAAAATGCAAATTTCAATACTTTCATTAGATTCTAGTTCACACGATAGCCACACATCCACAGATTAAAATGCCATTTCCATTTTTTATTTGATGAACTGGAAATTTGGAATAGTGGGTACCTTCCGACAATTTTTTTTTGTACATTGATGTCATCAGAGCGCTGACAGCGGATTCCTGTCAAAGTTATGTATTTTTAAATGGAACACCTTGAATTTTATTGCATTTTTTTGAAAGCACCATAAAAAATAGGTGAATTTTAATAAAGGTTCTTTATACCTAGGACTTATTGTTTGAGATATTTCAATTTTATGAAAATGGAGGCTTAGCGGAGAAATTTAATATTTGCAATAAAAAAATAATTTTAAGGAAGTTTGAAAGTGTTTTAAATTTCCTAACTCCCAAAGTAAAGATATACTGGGTGTCCCATTTAATATAACCAAATTATTTATGTTTAAAGTTGAGAAAAGTATTCGGCAGTTTTTTGAACACCCTGTACAATACTAAATGGCGACAAATATAATAATTTATAACTTCAACGATCTAAAATACACTCTCCAAAGCTGCTTCTTTAAAATTTTTTTTTTATTGCTAATATTGAATTTCTACGCTAAGCCTACATTTTCACTAAAATCGAAATATCTCACAAACAATAAGTCCTAGGTATGCAGAACCTTTAATAAATTTCACATATTTTTTTACGGTGCTCTCAAAAATGCAGTAAAATTTCAGGGTGTGCCATTTAAAAATACGTAACTTTGATATGGTACACTTTTCCTGGACACTCTGTATATTTCAAAATATTTTTAAAATGTAGCCGTAATCAACCTACACATACCCGCCTAAACAGGTTTCTATAACATTTGCCGTTTGGTCCCTAGCGACCGAGGCGTTACTGGTGGCACATCCTGTATAATATTAGTCTCAACAGTGTTTTTCCAGTTTCATAAAAAAAAAAAATCCTAAAAAACACCCAAAAAAACAGCCTTCAAAATAAAAAAAATTTTTTTAAAATTATACTATTTTGTTATTGAATACAGTAGGCCAGCATAATATTTAATAACAATTTCTAAGTAATACTTGACGAATTAATTACAAAGACGAGTATTTTAGCGCACAAATTTTGCACAGCAGTTTCCCACTCGAATATTCTTAAACTTGAACGAAGAGCACATTTTTGAAGTAATATTTATATTACCAAAATATCTAAAATGTCTGTTAGGTAATCATCAGATTAATATATGAAGACCGTATGGCAAAAACGATGAAAGTCACTTTTATTGCATTTGCTAGAAAATTAATTTTAAAGTTTGAAACGGAAATCATACAATTTAAACTTAAAATCAAAATTTTTGTGAACGGGTAATTATTTATCGATGAAAACGGTAAAAGTATCCTTAGACCTAATAAAAATAAAATAATTTTTCGATTATAATGAAAAATTAATTAGATGTAGTCTTTTTTATTTAATTGAGAATTTGTACAACACCAGAAAGAAAAGAGAATTTTAAATAAATAACATGTGCCAAAAAGATCTGTCAAGGAGTCGATTTATAATTTAGGTTTATCTAACGAGGGGCTGTTTAGTATTTTTTTTTGTTTTCAGTATGGCAGAAATAAATAAAAAAGTAATAACAAAGTCGCAAATAAATAACTGCAGACGATATGCAAAAACATTAGCATATTTTTCATAATACATATTCAATTAGTGTCAGTTATAATGAGATGAAACAAAAGAACACTTAAACTGATTATTCATTGCAAATCAAATATTCCCATCGTTTAAGTCATCTAAGTAATTGATCCAACAGGCAAATCTATCGCTCACACTGCAAATTCCATTTGATTTGAAACGAACAATTATTATCGTGGACAGTTACAAATTAAAGTATTTGCCAATTATTTCAAATTTGGAACACGCACCTTATAGCAATAAACGCACAACGGGAAACATTTGAACGTCTTGCGCATCTTGCATTGCCTGCAGGTCTGCTAACCATAAAACAAAAGAACTGAATATCTGCTCTAATAATACGAACGGGATCGTCGTTGCCGACCACCTAATCAATTTCACATACATTTCTATTTCATAAATACAGTACAATCTTCCTTCCACCCACAAAATGCAACAGTAATAAATCAAACGACATAATATAGAAACAATAAAAAGTAATGATTATATGCCTCGGTCCTCATCATCATAGTGACAAAGTTATACATTTCTCAGAATTAACAATATTGGTTTCTCGGTTATTGGTTTTACGGATACTTTTTTTATCTGGAAATTTACCATTACACAATATTTGTTGTTGCTAAATTGGGTAAACATATTTCAGATATGATATATAATTTAAAAGTAATATTTTACAATATATGTTCACGTAAAATGACAGGTTTACAAAAATATTCAAAAAATTTGTTGTAATAAAAACATAAAGTAAAAATAAATATTTATACGATACTATTTTAAAATATGTAATATTTTTATGTTACTAAGGTAAAAATTGAAAAAAATATATGAATGATTGAAATATAGCTCAAATTTAACAAATTAAAAAATATATGAGACTACAGAACCATATTATGCACCCTTTTTTCAAATCGCACCATGGAAATTTAGGATATCTTAAAACGATATGAAGTTGGTCAAATTAGAGCAGACAGATTTTGTTGAAGAAAAATTCAACCTATATTTTATGTTTTGAAGTGAATGCCAAACAACTGAAAATTTTTATCTCATTTCCTATTTTTTTAATTGTATAATACTTTATGGTTTATTTTCGTGTTTCGTTAAAGTACAAAATTATCCACTTTAATGAAGAGTGCTTTGAAAACAAGCATTCAATCGTAATCAGCTAGATCATGTTGGCTTTGCAATGCTAGTCTATCGAATCTACAAATTTTCAACAAAGGATTCTGTAATTGTTAGCTTCGTTACTATGACAGGCCTAGTGTAATTCCATTTTCCGGAAACACAAATCTTAGGAATTATAAAAAATTCTGTAATGTGCTCACACGCGTGAAAACTCACTGCAACAGGGCATTGGAAGAGACTAGAAATCAATGAATCAACTGTCAAACAAAATTTTAAGTCCAATTATATTTTCATTTACATCAAAATAAATTTGAAATTAATTGAAAATTTTTTAAATTTTCACATGAAAATTGTATTTTTATTCCCTAAACTTTGACACTGTCGACAAAAATTGAACTTAACTGTCAAAATTTAGTTTGCAAAGCACTCTTTGTAAAAGTAGATAATTTAAAATATGTTGGACCTCTAATAGAATTTGTAAGTAAAAAAAGTAATATATCTAAATAAACATAATTATTGCATAACTAAATAACAAATTTAAACAAATTACATTACCATTAAGAAAATTTTTCAATTAACACTCCTATATTTAATTTAAAACAATTTGTCTCACTCGCATTTTAAAATATTGCCTATCTTTTTCGTTTTGGAACGAATGAAGAAAAACTGAAAATTTATATTCGATTTTTTTTTTATGAAAAACCTAAACCTTTTAAACTCAAACATTATTACATCACTTTTTGAGTAACGTGTAAAAATGCTGTATTAGCCATGACAAGATACGTTTAATTTTGTTTTTTTTTATAAGCGCCATATTGGATTTTCGCTTTTTTTTTATCCAGCTTATTTTTATGATCACGATAACGTGCTATATGGTAAGCTTTACTTTTTTGTTTTCGTCAAAATATCAATTTATCCACTCGTAGGAAGAGTGCTTTGAAAACAAAACATCTGACTATCAATTCAAATGAAATTTTGACATTCAGCTATTTTTCCATCTATGTCAAGGTTAATAGAAATTTAAATACTGTTTTCATATGAAGTGTGGGATATGCTTCAGACTTATTGATTTATTAATCCGAAAAATGTAAAAGTCGCATTTTTAATTCTCTGAACATTGACATTGTCATTGTCAAATGAACTGTCAAATTTTATTTGGAATATCTCGATTTCAAAGCACTCTTTGTAAAAGTGGTACATATTGATGAAAAACTTAATATTTTTAGATGATGATGGGAAATACTTTAAAGTGGAAATCTCAGATCTTATAGTTGGTTGGTAAAGATGCGGAAATTGATAATGAATAAATATACGAATAAATATACCAAAGACAAGATTAATTTGCCTATTTTCATTTTGAAATAAAGGAGAAAAAAATGAAAACTTTTATTTTAGTTTACTTTTTGTCTTCATCAAAATATGAAAATATCCACAATTATGAAGAATGCTATGGAAACAAAACATCTGACTGTCATTTGTAACAAAATTTTGACAGTTCAGTTATATTTTCATTGATAAAGTTTAGAGAAATGGAATACTATATTCATACAAAGAAGCAGGAGATATTGATTAACGAATTTGCTGACTTCATATAAATGTTGTGTTTTTAATTTTCTACATGTTGATGCTGTCAAAGAAAATTCAACTGCAATAAAAGTGGATCAAAAAAATCATATTTTACAGCACATTATTGTAATCAGAAAAATAAGCATGAAAATTCAAAATGGCGCTTATAAGAAAAAAAGTTGAATGTCGTTTCTCTTTCCTCGTCCTGATAGATGTAACCATTTTAAAAAATTGAAGAGGTCGAAATAGTTGTAGCATGAAAACTATCTCAGGCGCTCACTATAACCGTCTCAAGCGATGCCACTTGGCAGACTGAGTCAGGAGGGGTTACGTAACACTCATCTAGTGGGAAAAGCCCAAACTACAAGAGCGCCGCTTGCAGCGAGTTCCCTCCGGTTATTTTTAGATCTTTCGTCGTATTTGTAGGTCAACCTTGAATCTCTTAAGATAATCAAGATCAAGACATCAAATCTTGAAAAAACCGGCATTTTGCATTGGTACCAATTTGTGATAATTGTGATGATTAGAATAATCTTCTCCTCTTCATCTCAAGTCACGTTTTTCTTGATATTTTTTCTAAATATGATAATTCTAGTTTAGATTCTTCTTTTTAGACTTGTTCACGTTTTGATTCCTGTTCTCTTCCACATAATTTTCCATAATGGGCTTGCTTTCTTTTTTGAAATTTCCACAAATGCAGAATTCAAGACAGAATAGTTCAAACGTTACTACCAACTTACTTCCACCTAATTATCAAATTTTCATTCACTACATACACATTGCATTCTCTTCAGACGAATTGTGTATTAAATTTAAATATTTTGCATTAAAAAAATGCAGTGAATATTTTGTAAAACCAATAAACCTCGAATATTGTCATTCTGAGACACAATTCAAAAACCAAACCACAAAATATTTGCATCAAAACAACGAACAATATAAAAAAAAGTAATATATAAAAAATTGCTTACCAACTGACCCTAGAATAAAACAAAAATATCCCAAAATTTAAGTATATGAGAATAATAAAAAAAAAGTGGTTACCTGCTGAACACTGCCCTTTAACAATCTTCATTACCCACAATTTAACTAACCGACAAAAAACTAAGTCCTACATTTAACTGACATTCCTCCCCATATCTGACATTGGATTTGGACCATTTTATATGAATATTTTTTAACTGATTAGAGCACTTGATCAGTTCTTTACGCAGTCTTATTGCACACAACACAAAACTTTTGAACACTTATATTATACTCTTTAAAGCTAGTCTCTACTAACACTAAGGGACTTGCATGGCTTCGGAGCGCAATATATTAACTGGGTAGTTCAAAGGTGTTAATATATTGCGACTGGCTGGCGCGATCTTCGGAAACGACTGGGAAAAGTGACAAGTTCCGATAGTACTTGAGAAAAGGTTAGCCTTGTGGCTCTCGTTTAGACATGTTAAATTTTCATCGAGTCTGTGAAATATAAAATGGTGATGTAATGGCTTTTGCTGTCTATTAGCACTGCAAGTTTGATAATATGAATTACTCAAACTTTGATAGATTAATCATACAATTTTCATTAAATTACAAAAAAAAAAAGAAAAATAAGTGTAAAAACTTTTGGTATACATGGTGTTTTTTTTATCCCTATCAGGGTTTGAAGATGTTTGTTGTTTTCCAAGTTATCATTTTTTTTAATTTAAAATACGTTTATGTCATAGTTATATAAAAACAACTACAATATTTCCCATTTCAAAAACAAAAAAAACCTAATTTTTTTAGTGAAATGCAATTTCTATATACAGGGTGTCAGATTTAATGATGGATATAGTAGTTTTAAAAATAAATAAGAAAACAATAAAAAAAATTACACGCTTTGAAAAAAAAAACAAGATTCACATCCTTTCAACTTTAAAAGAAAAATGTCTTAATATTTCCCGATATCTGCCACAGTTTCGTGGTAAATTTGATTTTTTTTAATTTTGCATCTTAGTAAAAGACTTAGTAAGACAACTTTTGTGGAATATATCAAACTAATGTCTTATTGGAGCAAATTTTTTGAAAATGCGGTAACTATAGAAAAATTGTTATTTTCAAATTTTCGGGAGTTGAAAAATACAGGGTGGCCCAAAAATCTACATCATGCTTGTAAATAAGGTAAATATTTCGAGCGTTACAGCTACAAAATTAGGTATTTTATTAATATTTTTTTTTTGTCGAGTGTAGTAAATTTTTTAGTTTATGTTTGAAGTTCTAAGGTTTTTATCAAATGATTATCACCCTACTTTGACAATAAGTTGATTTGACGAATTTGTTAACACTTTATTATTAGAAATGCTGTAAATTGAAGTGAAAAACCGGTAAGGTAGGATTTATGTGGCAAAAGTAACAACAGAAAACATAGTTTAAGGCTTTCATGGCCCATGCTATTAAAAATACGATGGTTTTTTGGGTTTTAATGATGTGGCCTATATACCGGTCGCCTCCAGTTACAGACTTATATTACACATCTTTGACCTGTCCTTGCTGTTCTTGGGTTAGGCTCTGTGGGAGCGAGCCCTAATGTTGCTGGCGGGACCACATATATAGGTTACAGCATAACCCAAACAAAAACGCCACACACAGATTCATTGAAATTTAATATTTGTGAAATGAAGTCAAATATAAATACCTTCTGCAGCAAAAAACCTGATCTTTTTTCGCAAGTGTTAAACAATAAGCATTTTACGATTTGTAGAGAAAATGCCAGTTGCCAGCTCCACAAAAAAAAAAATGGAATATCCGAAAGACAAGACTGGTATTTCCATGTTTTTGGGGTCACTGAATCCGAATCCGGTGTCCGTTTGACCCGATTAGCTCTGGGTTAAGGTCAGTTCAAGGTCAAATATAGAGAATCAATTGCCAACAAAGTAAACCAATATATCTATACGTTTCTAAGTTCCCTGAATCCGAATCCGGTGTTCGTTTGACCTGATTAGCTCTGGGTTAAGGTCAGTTCAAAGTCAAATGTAGAGAATAAATTGCTAACAAAGTAAGCCCATATATCTGTATGTTTTTGGGGTTGCTGACTCCGAATCTGGTGTCTGTTTGACAAAATCAGATCTGGTTTAAGGTCAGTTCAAGATCAAATGTAGGGAATCAATTGCCACTAATGTAAACTAATATGTCTATATGTTTCTGGGGTTGCTGAAGCCGAATCCGTGGTCCGTTTGACCTGACTCTCTACATTTGACCTTGAATTGACCTTAATGCAGACCTTATCGGATCAAACACGCACTGAATTTGGATTCACCAACGCCAAAAACATATAGATATGGAGGTTTACTTTGTTGGCAAATGATTCTCTACATTTGACCTTGAACTGACCTTAACACAGACCTAATTGGATCAAACGGACATTGGATTTGGATTCACCGATCCCAAAAACGTATAGATATGCAGGTTTAATTTGTGGGCAATTGATCCTCTACATTTGACTTTGAATGACCTTAACGCAGACCTGATGGGATCAAATGGACATTGGATTCAGATTTACCGACCCCCGGAGTTAATCGAGTCAAGCGGACACTGGATTTGGATTCAGCGACCCCAAAAACATATAGATACATGGGTTTTGTCTTTCCACTGTTTTTTTTGGGGTGTGCAATCTTTAAAAAAAAACAAGGAATTTTTTTTGTCTGAACATATCTAATGTAATAGTGGTTAGTAACAGAAATTTTTTCAATTGGTTCTAATAGCAACATTTTAGCTGAAAATATAAACACAAAATACCCAACAAAAAAATTTCTCTAAAAATTAAAAAAATTGCCTATATCTCAAAAATAAGGAACTTTTATGAAGGTCAAATTTAGTAAATGTGACACATTATCTTTCGCTGGTCGGCGTAGAGTTTTGGGACACCCTGTATAAAAAGTTTCTGTTTTTTTTTATTTGATCACTGTGTATCTCAAAGTAGCATTTTTACAAAACTATTCATATGAAGAACTCTATTTTCAAAAAGCACTGTCATACTCTTTCGTGACCAATGTTAAATCTGACCCACGCAAAATTCTGACCCAAAATTCCAAAAAATTTATATCGTAATTCTTATTCATCGGCGAATAATGAAGTGGAGCAGTTTCCGAAAAATTCTAAACTTTTTTCGATAGTTACTCTGTACTGTAATAAAAAAATTCTTTCGATTTTTTTTTTTGTAAAACAAAAACAAATATGTTCAACTGTAGGCATTTTTAAAAATGCATGATTTTCTAAAAATGTGGAAAATGGTTCGTTTTTCTAAAAAAAATGCAAAATATCTTTTTTTATAAAAAAATAAAATTTAAGTTTCCAAAATACTCGATAGTATAAATGGACTTTTTTTAAACCTCAACACCCTGTATCATCGAAAACTTGTGACATTAGATTTTTAGTTCAAAAAATGTAAAATAAAAAACTGTAAACATGATAGCAACGTAAATAAATAAAAAAAAATAAAAAATAGCAATAAAGAAAAAATAGATCAAAAACGATGAAAACTAATTTTTAGCTACAAACGGGGCAAATTAATTTTTTTTTTTTAATCAAGTTTAGAGCTCTTGACAACAAATAACCATTTCATCATTCATAAAACTTTTGAAAGAGTGCAGGGCACTCGAGAACACCGAATGAAACGGTGATTACAGTCTAGTTTGAGGATAATCAAATGAAGTGAATGACCCAAATGTAAATTCAGGCCTCATTGTTCTCTTTGTTTGGAAAAATGTAAGGCAACAAACCCCACAGACAATAAACTCGAGATAGCAAAGTCCATTGTGCATAATAAAAGGACCACTTGGGTATCAAGTAATAGCAATAATAAACAGATTAAACTTGCATTCCATTCATAATGGCTTGATAAGGAATCAATAAACAAATCTCGGACAAGTCCAAACTTGTCAGGCAGTGGTGAAATGGAAAGCAGCCCCTTTGAATTAGGAGAATTAACATGACAAAAGCTGCAGACAACGATTACCACGAACAGGGGCATCAGTTCTGCTACATTAAAAGGCAGAACAAAGAGAATCGAGACCTGCCAGCCAGTCATCATGCAAATCCGAAGCGTTCTCTGAACCGATATCTACCTGGAAGCATTTTTCGCAATATCTGTAGAGCGGATTATTGTTGTCCGACTTGCACTGTATGCAAGTCGAGAAATCCACTTCCTTGAACGATAACTCCTCCAGGGAACTGTTGTCCGAGTCCTCGCAGTCCGTTATCCAGTTCTCCAGGGAGGTGTCGCAAATGACGGCCGCCGCCGCTGCTAGCATCATGCTGGCCTGCAATGAAGTGGAAATAAAGTTTATTTCCCCGTTCAAACCAAAAAAAAACAGTCTACAAGGAAACAGTTCTCAAAACTGACGCTAACGGAGCGCCCCAATTCCAAAGCTAATTTTCTTGCAAAGAGTTAATCGAATTTTAACAAGCTCATTCATGAATTATAGATTTATTCCTAAGTTACGATACTAAGGTAGGAATTTTTATAGAAATTTCAGTTTTCAGCAAATACAGGATGCAAAAAAGTAACTGGAAACAGCCTAAACGGTGTGAGAGCAAAAATAGCGAAAAATTTCTTTCTTTATTCACATTATCTTTGTTACTAATTGAGATACAAAGTGAAATTAATGAATAACAGTTTATTATAAATAATTTAAAATAACAATAAAAAAATAAAAATACGAGTAGACAACTTAATAATAAAATAATTAACCCTTACTGCCGATTTAACGAGATTGAAAACTTGATGAAAAATGAAACATTAATAAAAAAAGATAACAGTAGGAACGATGTAAAATATATTACAATTATTGAATAATTTTCTTTGTTTTTGGTGTTGTTCTTTCTTCTTACAAACATTATTATTGTTTTGCCTATTTTTAAATTTTTAGAACAACCTAATGTGCATTAATTCAACTATGTTCCTAAATTAATAACGGGTTGTTCAGAAAAGTTATGACAATTTGATTTAAGTAGGCATTGCTATTTTAGCTGACGCCCTGTCTGTTTTAAATTTCAGGGAAAAAATTTATTTTCTCTTGCATCCTAAATATTAGAAAACTGAATTTCAATGAAATTTCTATCAAAGTGTCTTTACTGAGAAATAAACTTGCAATTAAAAAAAATATTCACCATTAACTTTGAAATTGAGGTCTACTTTTAGTGGTGCATTAATTTTGATGTGCAGTGTATTTGCATCATGTGGTATGCGTGTTGCACACTTCAGAAATATGAACGAGTATGTACTAGTCATTTTATGAGTAACATAGAAAAAAAGATTTTTCTCGGAATTTTGAAGATGAAGCATTAGCATTTAAATTTTTCTTGGAATGGAAAATTTTAAATATTATCAAGGACATGTGAGATCACCATATAAAACTAATTGCTGATTCAATTTGTGCAATTTTGCCTCATATTTTTCCCAAAATTTAAAGATATAAGATATTAAAGATAAAAAATTTGTTTCTGCTAAGAAAACAAAATACAGTGTTACAAGTTTTGACCTTGCTTAAACAAGTATGTCAAAACTATTAACCTGCTCTTTATGTACCGTAATTACCAGTGAAAATTAAAGTGTTCATTGTGAGACACATCTTGCTTTTTTTTAAGGAACGATTTTTTTAACTCGTTTCTCAAAAGTTTCATTTTCCATAACATCTTTAAAAAGCATGAAAAATAAAATGCAAGTATCAAATTAAAATTAAAATTACTTAATTTTCGAAATCTATACATATTTGAAGAATTTTGGGTCATTTTACAGGGTATTCCAATTTATAGGCATAGAAATTATTAAATGAATTATACATAAAAACACAAATGAAGTGCAAATATTTTCTTATATTTGGAAACTATAACATCCTCAAAATTCCAGATTATACACCTGCAAATATTTTTTGGTGCTAATGTTTAAAATGTACTTATTCTTTTAATTTTTTAATGAATGCCGAAAAAAAAATATTTTTGTACTTTTTCAAAAACACTATTTTTTTTTACTTATGTTAATTGCCTTTACGCCTAAATGTAGAACATTCCGCATATATTATTTTTGAAATCCATAATTTTTTGTTACCAATAAAAATCAAACTCCAGTCTAACATCGAAAAGTAACCTCAATTTGCCTTTCACATGACACAAAACGCATCATATCTATGTCAAGCATTTAACTTGTGCCAACTTGTGTATCTGCACACCTCAAAAAGGTACAAGGTAGAATGTTCTGGTTAACAATGCGATGCAAATTACTCATTTCCTTGATTACAGTGTATTGTTTACCATTAATTAACGTAATAAATATTTATTTAAAAAGAAATATTTAAAAACTTCCGTTATTGGCATTTAAAACGTTTGTTTTTAAAATTAGTTTTATAAAAAAAAATATGTTTCTAATGACCATATTTTAGTAGTTTCTATTTTCATCCTACATTGTCTATTCAAAAAAAAAAAAGTATCTATGTACAAAAATATACAAAATACCAAGTAAAATATGCAAAAAATGTACAGGGTATGAAAAATGTACACGAAATAAAGCTATGTTTGCAGTTTAAATCTGGCATTTTGGCCATCTATTTAAGAATTTATCAAGGCCAGAAAATAAAATAAAATTTTATCCGTAAAATTAAAACTTTTTTGCAAAAATTCAGGTAATCCTGAAAAACATAGAAATGGAAAAAACCAAATTTGATTTCTGAATTATTAAATAGACTGGCAACTGAATTTTAACTTTAATATACTTATAGGAATAGGTAAAGGATAAGGACCCAATATTAAAATCTGACTGGCAGTTTTTACTAACAATAAACATGCATGTTTATATAAGTGTGACACTTATCAATAACAATTTCAAATGCCCAGCACGTTTCAAAAAATGTCCTAAACAGAATATTATTCTAAATATACATCATATATTGTGTTATTAATTAAACCAACTCTGGCAATAAGAAACAATTTTCCCTCCAAAAATAATTGTTAAAAAAAATGGAAAGGACAATCCCAAATTTCCTAAAAATAAAAGTACGAATGAATATTTATTTACCTCTGAATCACTGGAAGAATTCGACTGGCTGAATCCATTTTCACTTCCCGACAAGCTGGCGACATCGTACTCTTCATAATGCACTTCGTATTCCTCTGCATCGCTGCACCCCGATTTTGAATCCGTGTCAGAGGTATCTCTTACGACGTCTAAAAACAATTTATTATTGATCTGCAGCACATCTCAAAGTGTGCAGAAGCCTACCGGTTTCTCTATCCTGTAAACTATAAACACTTTCGGTATCTTCTTCGGAGGCCTTCGAACTTTCACTCTCTAATCTAAAATAATAACAACGAGGCCTCTTCAAATCCATTTGAGTTGTCGAGTCGTCTTCTCGAGATCTCTTTCTCCAAGAAGCTGTAGCACAAAATTAAAATAGTTGATGGTTGTTTATACAGATATCTAAATTAGTGTTTGCGTTTTAGTTAGTAATTTATAAGTAATTAAAGAGACAGATGCACACCGACTTTATAACCTTACAAATTAAAGCCCGTTAACGATCTACTGCTTATTAGATAAGCAAGCGTTTAAAGGGGTGTGATTGGATACGTGCTGGAGCAAACGTTCCCAGGAAATTCCAGATTCTACTCGAAAAAAACTAACACAGAAGGGATAATACAGAAAAATTAGTTTTACAGACTTACCTGTACTTGTTTCTACGGTTACTGTAGCAGTTGTAGCCGACATTGTTATGACTAGAAAATAGAAATGGGAATACGATGCGATACACAAACGCGCACAGACTTGTGTACTTTTTTCCACGAAATCAACAACGTATTTGTTTCCAGGGTTGTCAGATGGTGCAGAAGCATTTCTCATACTAAACGACTTGAAATTCTCATACCAAAATGTAAACTATCTTCAAATTTTAGCATCTAACAAACTTTATTATAAAGTGTGTGCAAGTTAAATATACTTATTTGTATTTGTTTATAGATCAGTATACAAATTGTTATAGATTTTACTATTATGTTCCATATTTGGACTTATACATGGTCATTTTTTGAAAAAAGTTTTAATTCTGAATTAGCAGAAATCTGGCAACACTGTTTTATGCTTTCCGGAAATACCCACTCTTTTCTACTTATGCGCAGGTGCAGCTAGATAATCCAAAATTAAAATCCCTAGACGGGAAAGGGAAATCCAGAAAACCCTAGATTTAGTTTTGCGTTTTGCGATGCGTGCTGCGTATTGGCAGAACTGTGTCGGTGACGGCTCGTTGTCAGCTGTTGGTAATTTGTTAATAATCGGCCATATTTATTGTTTAATTGAAAATTAGTTTATGTAGATTCAATTATAAAACTGATGTTAAATATTGGGCGTCACTAAAGTTACTATGCCTTTAGCAAATTCAGTAGAACCATGGCAAATTCAGCACGCCGATACAGAGGTAAAATTTCTATCAAGAATAACGATTTTTATTAAAACCGCCTTGTTTTTTATTTTAATTTTAAAAATCTTTTGTCTTCCACCTTATTTTTGTAGCACGCGTAGCCAAGTTTTTATGATTTATAACGAGTTTATTCATTTTGCAGCTTTTGGAGTATCCAGTTCCCTAAGAATAGTGTCTGTACGTAAAATGTTTACGTTATTAGCAACTCACTGTCGTGGCACGAAAGCACTATAAATTTCTATCTATACTGCATGAACTTTTAGATGAATCTGTCTATATTATCTAATAAATAACCACGCTAATATTTATGTGGCCTTTTAAGTACAATATGCTTTGAATGAATGTTACCACCTGTTACACTATGCTTACATAAATTTACCATAAAAGGGTTCACCCTTGAGAAATAATAGACCACTTATATTCTGTCCTATATTCCATATGTCTTTAGTAACTCAATGGTCATTGGTTACTATATTAGTACCTACCATCAATTGTAAATGAATAATCAATATCGTTTCATTTAGACCGTATTGTGTCTGAATAAAGCAGTGAGGTAACCTTTGTCTTGCGAACCCAAATTACGGTGTAGAGTGTAAAAACCATTTACAGTCCAGAATTGTATGAATATCTATTAATTTAGAACATTGAAATTACAAGCAAATTAGATTTACTATTTCATTGTATTTGAGGGCCATTTTACTAGAAGTATAGTAAGGAAAAATATATTCTATTGTAATAATTAAGAATTAAACATATTTTAAAAAAGGGAAATCGTCTGACTTTAAAAAATTCATTATTCAGTTTTACCTGTTTGTAGCATGTTATAAAAATTGAATAGTTTATTATATACATAAAAAAAACTACAATATAGACAGTCAGAAATGTTTGCATGTGTTTATACTCTCAAAAGTATCTACATAGTTATTTCTTCAAACAATTACTTTTTTATACATTTATTGAATGGACATTGATTCTTAATATTATACCTAGCAAGATTTTCTGTATTTCCTCCGTCCACGACAGTTAACACCTCCCGTTTTGCACTTTTCAAATTGACATTGTAACACAGAGCCTTGATAATTTACCCCTGCAAAATTTCTTTAACTATCGTCCAAACTTTCTGAAATCTGGTAATCAGGAAAGACTTGGAGGAGTGATGTGGAAGTAATTTTAAATATAAAAATTAACTAGTAATTAAAACGAGATGTTCTATAAAACAAAAAAGACCAAGTGTGTTGGTAAGCTACTGACTAAATATAGCTTTTTTTGTAAGCACAAAAATATTTAAAATATTTTGTTTTAGACAGTGGCTTAATAAAAAATATAATTTAAATCCCGTTCTATAAAAACATTTATATTTTAAGGCTTATGTGTATGTTGAAAGTGACTAATATATTTTTAACAGAATCTTCCTATAAAGCTCATATAAACTGTAAGCTTTAAATTCACTACCTTCTGGATCTGAAACTTACTATTTTTATTTTTAAAAATTAACTTTACCATTTAATCATTTTAAAAACCCTATGTTTCAGAAATTAAACGATTTACATTTACACTGCTTTTGTAGAATTACGATAACATTACTAACCATGTAGAACTTAGAAGCATATCCATCTTTCCAGTGTTAACCGAAGAACAGAATTCCTTCCATTATTTTTCATGAACATAACCCCTCGCTTGTAAAAAGAGTTTTTGTGGTGGATATGTAATCTAAAATTTAAAAGATATTCACAAACTGTTTCAATTTTTATTATGTATGGGGTGTTCTGCCTTAAGTATCACTCACTACTTTTTCGCTCATCTTTCAAATAGAAAAAACCATAAAGAAAAAAATTGTAGGAAATTCTCTATATTTGTGTTGTTAAAACAATTGCACATCAAGTTACAGAGCACTATTTATTTTTACCAGCTGTCAATGAGTACTGTGATGTTCACTTGTTCTGCAACATGGCCATCTAGAAATTTCAAATGTTTCCTTAATATAGAAGTGATATTTATGGTGGATAATTTTCCTTGTTTCAATTTTGCTGCCATTCCTAACAATACGGGTTGAGGGTGCGAATAACTTTTATCACTTTTCCCGACACGAAAGAAATAACAGTTTTATACTTGTAGTCGCAGTCTGGAGATGCCGACGAGGTGGTTTCGGAAGAATCTGGGCCTACAGAAGGCGAACATGAAATTGAACTGGGAGAAGTAAGTGACGGTCAAACATCAATTAAAACGCCTATGTCAGATTACCGAAGCTTTCAATTGTTTGTCTTTCTACCTTCCACAGGTTGTTAGAAATGGCCACGACAAAGCAGATCCCTCTCAGTTCGAGCTGCTCAAAGTGCTGGGGGAGGGGTCATTCGGGAAAGTGTTCCTTGTTCGTAAGGTGGTGGGAAACGATGCTGGCACTTTATACGCCATGAAGGTATTGAAAAAAGCCACCCTCAAAGTGAGAGACCGCCATCGCACGAAAATGGAAAGAAACATTTTGGTGGAGGTGGAACATTCCTTCATCGTTAAATTGCATTACGCTTTTCAAACGGCCGGAAAGTTGTACCTTATTTTAGATTTTTTGAGGGGAGGAGATTTGTTTTCGCGATTAAGCAAAGAGGTAAGAGTACTTTTGGTTGTAGTGTAGTAGGCAAAAACTTTTGCACGTTTCTCAATAAATGATGTTTTTGTTTAGGTAATGTTCACTGAAGAAGATGTTAAGTTTTATTTAGCCGAACTAGCATTAGCTTTACATCATTTACACACCTTAGGTATTATCTACAGAGATTTAAAACCAGAGAATGTTCTGTTGGATGCCGACGGACATATAGCTCTGACCGATTTTGGCCTATCGAAGTTGCCTCTGGAGGAAGGAAAGGCATACAGTTTTTGTGGCACAGTAAGTAATGTTTAATAATAATATACCACCCCCTCCCTCGCATGAGTCTAACTTTTGGGCTAATCGTTGTCGTTAGAATGATTTGTATTTGCAAAATTGAATTAATTAGAAAAATGTTAATTTTTTCAATGAATAGTTCGCTGCCATTCATAAAGTTTGGTGAAATATGAAATATTTAAAAATAAAATAACTTGTCATTGACAATATTTATGCTGAATGATTTCAGTTTTAATACTTAAGATAAGAGTATAATAAGATATTATGTCAACAATATGAGATAATGTTCAACAATACAAATGTTACATGAGATCCATTAACACAGAATTCAAAAGAAGACAAGGTACCTTTAAAATGATAATCAATTTTTTTATCAGTATGCCAATAATTAGATAGTTTTTGCCAGGATTACAGGAAATTTAATTTAAAAAATTCTTTTACTTTTACAAATTTTTCGAAGAAATAACGGTTTTTGAGGAAATCGGGATTTTGTGAAACAGCGTCATTACTAATTGAATCGGAAAGTAAAGTATGTAGTTTGACGACTAGTAGGCTATGATTTCATCTGTCATTTTTGACGTTTACAAAAAGTATCAAGAAAAAGCAATTTCATTAAATTAGATTCTTTATTTTGTTTTTAACATATTAAAAAAAGAACCTTACAAACAAAACATTACCAAATTCAATTTTAACCACTTGAACTACTGAAATCGTAAATAGCACTACAGTAACCGCTGAAAATGGCCACCACTTTCTCTGATCCATAAATTTACCCTCCGCAGAAAATTAAAGTCTACTCTACACAATAACTGGATCATTTTTTATGGCGTTGCATTTATTATTTATATGATTCCATAAATCTGCTTGATATACAACCGATGGAAGCCCCCTAGAGAAAGAAATCACATGTATTCAGATCTGGTGATCTTGGTGGCCAATTTTCTGGACAATTATTTCCTCGTCCTATCCATCGTTCATGAACCACATTCGACGTCTTAATTGCAAAGGTAAATTCTCGAGCAACCCAGGGAGGGTATTTTCTAAAAAAAAATAAATAATTTTCGCCATTCGGCCGATTTGGTAGAATAACTGGTCCAACCAAATAATGTCCGACAATACCAGCCCACACGTTTATTTTAAATTAATTTTGAAAATGTCGAGGAATTATAGCATGAGCATTTTAATCCTAATATTCATGGAAATTATATCAAATTTGTGATCACTCTTCGAATGAAACAGGCCTTGTCCGTAAAAAGAATCTTCTCATGAAACCTAATATCCTGACGCAAAATGAAATTACAAAAAGTAGTCTTTGGCCTAAGTCTTGGGGTAACAATTGTTGAATATTTTGGATGAAGCAGATTACGTTCGATGGACTGTGATATGTGGTATATTAAATTGTCTAAATAATCACCTAGTGCTGATATGAGGATCATTTTCAATACTTCTTAAGAGTCGCACCTCGTTTCGTGCATTTACTACATGATTTACATATCTTCCTTCGTTGCTGACTAGAAATGATCCAGTCTCTCGAACCCTCCTCTTAACATTAGCAAAGATGTCCCGGTATGAAATCAAACGATCAGGAAATCTTCAGTACTCCTGTACACTTCATCGACAATTACCCTTACAAAACCCCAACACTAACAAGATGTCAACATTTAGTTGATAGAGGGTGTTGAAATAGAATTTTTTTTCCCCGCTTTTCCATTATAAGTTTTGAACCACTTATCTGATTGAGGTGAAATTTGAAACACAAACACTCCTTGTGATCTTATATGTATAAGCTTCATAAGTTTGAACCACGTACCCCTCTTAGAAGTGTATTTTGTGAGCTACCCCCCTCGTATATTATTTCAAAACTTCAAAAAAATTCTTTAATTTCAATAAAACAGCTTTTGTCTCATTAATTTTGAAACTTTTTCATCTCTTGTTTTTTTTTCGATATTTGGTCTTGTTTCTGAGATATACAGTGAAATCTGTGACATTATAGCGCTCCAGCTGAATAAATTTCATTTAACGTTATAGAAACCCATGAAAAACAAAACTCAATGATTGGTATAAACTGACGTTTGTGAATATCGTCGTTTAAAGTATTATTTGAAAAGTATTTTTAGTGCTAAGAAAAGGGGAAATAATTCCTACTTCAACGCTCTCTATCTCCGAAACGATGTGATTTACTGAATAAATTTATATGAATGAACATTATTTTAACTTGTTCTATCGATTCCTGAAGTTATCCAGATTAAACTTGAATCACCCTGTATAGAAATGATAAGTATTTTAATTGGTAACTTTATGGTATACAAAATAACAAGAGCAATAAATATCTCACTGGACGTACAATAGTTTCCACTTGTTATTGACAAAATTAACGAAAATTTACAATAATTCGCGAGTAAAATTTTTACGATGCAAAAAACATTTCCTTTTCTGCCATTGTAATTAAAGGATTCCTTTAATTTTTCGTACTAAAAGATAACAAAAAAAGTGATCACGCATGTTGACGTCGAAAAATGCAATTTTACTGTTTTGTTAAGAATTATACAAAAAGTTCTTAATAATTGTGATTAATTCACGGGTTAGTAGTTTCTTGAAACCATTTTGTGGGGTGTGATTATATTTATAGTACAGTATGCGATTATCTGTATATCTAATGGACGTGTAAAGTTCATAAAATGTAATGATGAACATAAGACGTGAAAATATGCAATTTTTCTTATGCCGAAAGTTTTGTCAGCTTGAAAACTGTTTTATACCCTGTAGAAAACTTTTGTTACTAGTACAGGGAAGAGGTATAGTTTCTAACATGCTTAGATTTTCTAAAACTCTTGACAAAAACTGTTATAAATTCACTGAAAATTACGTCCCCATTAAGGAAATTGTTGAATGTTGAAAACTTTAATGTAGTTTTCTTTTCCAACAACTGTCCCAAATTCAATTACTGCATTTGATGAACCATTGAAAGAGAAAAATATCTTTTAAAAATATTTAATTTAACATTTTTTCACTTTTATGTGATTTTATAATTTTAGGTCGAGTATATGGCCCCCGAAGTGGTCAACAGGAAGGGCCACACCTTCGCCGCGGACTGGTGGTCGTTCGGCGTGCTCATGTTTGAGATGCTAACAGGAGCGTTGCCCTTCCAGGGCTCCAACCGGAAAGACACCATGACTCAAATCCTCAAAGCCAAATTGGGCATGCCTCCGAACCTAAGCCCGGAAGCTCAGAGCCTACTCAGGGTGTTGTTCAAGAGAAACCCGGCCAACCGACTAGGTGCGGGCCCTGGCGGCGTGGAGGATTTGAAAAAGCACGAGTTTTTCGCTACCATAGATTTCGATGCGCTTCTTGCCAAAAAGATTAGACCTCCGTTTCAGCCGGTCGTTTGCGGACCCGAGGACGCCTACTTTGATTCCGAGTTTACCAGCAAAACGCCGAAGGATTCCCCTGGGGTACCTGCCAGCGCAAACGCCCACGAACTCTTCAGAGGGTTTAGTTTTATCGCTCCCTGCTTGCTAGAAAACGGCAACGTTCCAAAGAAAACGGAAACTCCCATAAAATCTGTTAAGACGTGTGAACGTAACTTCTTCGACGATTACATTCTGATGGATATTATCGGAGCCGGAAGCTACAGCGTGTGCAAGTTAGCTAGGCACAAAGCAACCGGGCAACAGTACGCTGTGAAGGTATTTCTCATATCCCGATCGTTAGAGCTAATCTTATCTCTATAAAATTCATTTTAGGTAATAAACAAATCCTTGTGTTCAGACTGCAGGGAAGAGGTAGAAATCCTGTTGCGGTATGGACAGCACCCGGGCATAGTTTCACTAAAAACGGTATATGAAGAGTCTGACAAAATCTATTTAGTTCTACAGTTGCTAAAAGGGGGCGATTTACTGGATTACATGATGTCAAAGGTAACTTTTTCGAAATGTAATATGTTACAATGACACAGTTTACTTTGCAGGGTAGTCTTTCGGAACAAGAAGCAGCGGCTGTATTAAAAACCGTCGCGGCGACCGTGGCATATCTGCACGAGAACGGAGTGGCGCACAGGGACCTAAAACCGGCCAATATCCTCTTCGCTTCGGAAGACTGCACTCCCGAGAGCGTAACAATCTGTGATATGGGTTTTGCCAAACAAGTATGTCAAAACGTGTGACATACAGAGTGAACCATTTTAATCTATGCACCCAAATTTCTCAGTACCTAAGCGAAATACTTGATATTCATTTTCAAGGTCATTTTTAAGTCAGTGTTTTTTTAAATAGAAACCCTTATTTTTGACACCGGATTCGAAAAGATCAGAAATTTTACGGCCCAAATCATATTAACAATATTGTTTTCGTGACCTTGAGAAGGTCAATTCAAGGTCAAATGTCAAAAAGCTGCATGGTAGCTATTTTTTTTTAGTTTCATGGCACAATAAAAGTTGTGAAGCTACCTTTATAGGAAATATCGAACTCAAATGTGACAACGACCTTAACAATGTTGACCTTGAGATCATTTTCAAGGTCATTTGAATGTCGGAGTGTTTTTTTAAATTGAAACCCTTATTTTTGATACCATAATCGAAAATAACGGAAATTTTACGTCCGAAATCATTTTCAAGTTTGTTTTCATGACTTCGAGAAGGTCAAATCAAGGTCAAATGTCAAAGAGCTGTATGGTACTGGTTTTTTTTAGTTTTATGGCGGAATAAACATTGTGAAGCTACCTTTATAGGAAATATCGAACTCAAATGTAACAATGTTGACCTTTAGATCATTTTCAGGGTCATTTGAATGCTGGAGTATTTTTCAAATAGAAACCCCTATTTTTGGTACCATAATCGAAAAGAGCGGGAAATTTTACGTCCGAAATCATATTTTCAAGTTTGTTTTCATGACCTCGAGAAGGTCAATACAAAGTCAAATGCCAAAAAGGTGCATGGTAGCTGTTTTTTTTTTTTTTAGTTTTATGGCGGACTAAAAATTGTTTATAGGAAATATTGAACTCAAATGTGACAATGGCCTTAACAATGTTGACCTTGAGGTCATTATCAAGGTCATTTGAATGTTTTTTTTTGAAAACTTTGTTTTTGACACCGGATTCAAAAAAGTGAAAAATTTTACGTCAGAATTGATATTTTAAATGTTGTTCTTGTTCTGACCTGGAAAAGGTCAAATGTTGGAAACTTGCTTGCTAACAGTTTATTTAATTTGTTTGGCAGATTTAACATTATGAAGATACCTTTAAAAGGTAGTTCAAACTAATTTTTGACAATGACCTTGACCGTAAGGTCAATATTCCAGGCCATTTGAGGGTCCCGGTGTTTTTTTATGAGAACAAATATTTTCGACACTGGAATCGAAAAGAGCGGAAAATTTTACGTCAGAAATGTTATTTTTGTCTGTTGTTCAGTCATTAAAAAGGACATTTAGGGTTTCATAAGGTCAGAACGACAATTAAAAAATCGACTCTGACTCTTTTAATTCTGTGTCAAAAGCTATGTTTTCCATTAAGAAAAAACACTGACATTCAAATGACCTTAAAAATAACCTTTAGGTCAACATTATTAAGGTCGTTGTCACATATGAGTGATATTTCCTATAAAGGTACCTTCACAACATTAATTCCGCCATAAAACTCAAATAAACAGCTACCAGGAAGCTCCTTGACATTTGACCTTGAATTGACCTTCCCGAGGTCACAAAAACAAACTTAAAAATATCATTTTGGACATAATTTTTCCCGCTCTTTTCGAATCCGGTGTCAAAAATAGGGCTTCCTAAATGACCTTGAAAATGAACCGCAAGGTCAAAGCTAGTTGCATAGGTAGGTGACCTCCCAATGTCCTGAACAACTTTTGTCTGAACCATTTTTCCGTATATCGTTTAGGTTCGGAGGTATTTTGGTACATAGATTAAAATGGTCCACCCTGTATATTAAATATCTACTTCTCTCTTAATTTATAACTTTTTTTTAATGTTTAAGTTGAGAGCAGACAACGGACTCCTGATGACGCCCTGCTACACCGCAAACTACGTGGCGCCGGAGGTTTTAAAAAGACAGGGCTATGACGCCGCTTGCGATATATGGTCCTTGGGGGTCATCCTGTACATAATGCTCTCGGGAAGGTGTCCCTTCAGTACTGCGCCCAACGACAGCCCGCAGCGGATCCTGCAGAGAATCAGTTCGGGGAAACTTGACTTACAGGTAAAGTTGGACATTTTTTTTAAATACATGGTGTCTGGAAAAAATTGAGGTGATTTTACTCACAAAATTATTGGTAGGAGCTGTGGAGAAAAAAAATTTTCGGCCTAAAATGTTGCAAGTATTAGAATTAATAAAATCTTGTTTTTAAGGCACTATCCGCAGTTTAGGTTGGATGCTTTTTATTGTCCGCAACTGTACAACTTCCTGTGACACTTTTTGATACTTTTTCAAAAACTTACAGCATTTTCGTCGTATCTTTCAGCGTCATCACCACCAAAGTTGTCATAACCTCAAACGACAAAAAAGTCTAATCAGGTTAATTGATCCTTATTTACAAGAAAATTGATTATGTGTTTGTATTTGTTTTCTTTTCTTTTTTATCCTTGAAAATTGCTAACGGTATTTTATTGACTTGAACCAAAAGAATCTTTTTGAAAAATTTTTAATGTATATTAAACTTGTTTCATTTTTTTAAAAATGCGGATAAAAACATGGTTAAATGACATGACCTTGGAGTACTACATACACTGAACGTAAAAACCAGGTCCTGTAATAAAAATACCCAGTACGGTAGCTGTAGGAGTCGATATTGTTCACGCATTTGACTTTCTGTATCATTGACTTTAAAAAAATGTTTGAATTTACTGGTATTAGGAGGAAATGCTATTTTATTATTTGATTTGCAAAAATTATCATCCCTTTGGCAGGGAGGACGTTGGTCGGAGGTGTCGAACGAAGCGAAAATGTTGGTTACCGAAATGCTCCACATCGTCCCTCAAAGAAGGCCCACTGCCGCGCAACTGGTGAAACACCCGTGGGTGGTTTCCCAGACCAACACGCTGTACCAGTTACGCGCTTTTCCGTCGTCGCACCTAGCCAACAGCAACTATATCAACCAGAAACAGGCACAAGCCGCTCCGACCGGGGTTCACTTGAAGGAAACGGTAGCCGCCACTTTTAGGGCCATCGCCACCTCGCCCCAAGTGGCCCACCTAGGACCCGTGGCGATGTCAGAGCTGGCGAGGCGGAGGTTCCGTGACAAGGCGCTGACCCGCGTCCAGCAAACCTCATAATGTTTGTTGAACGCGCGAATACTGGTTTCATAAAGAGATATTCGAAGGGGTAGAGGTTACGACGACGGGTTCACCTGCGGCAGGTAACGTGTGTGTGTAAAGTTGTTGATATATTGTTGCATAAGGTTAATCACATTATTTATTATCGAGGATATAGAAGAACAGGAGTTTTATTGAAATTGTTCATTAAGCGAAGTGGTATTCTAAATGTGATAATTACACAGAGGTACGAAAGGCTTCAAATTGTGTCAAGGATATTATATATTATATATTTAAAGCAAAAATGTTTAAAAGTTTATATGTAGCGTATTCAGTGTAGCGGTTAGCGAAACAAGTTAAAGTTTAATTTAATATTGCTGATCAATCGAGTAAATTAGTCTCTATGTATGCGGTAAGAAAATAAATTGATGGGTTGATTACTTTATCCTGCGGTATGTAGCTAAATGACGACCTCAGTAGAATAACATCAAATTTTTATGCTGTCTTGAATGGAGTACTTTGTGTTGTAAATGTGGTGTACAGCTCTGGACAAAAAAGATTTCCAATGTAAATAGTTGGGAAACTTTTTATTGTCCGCAGCTGTACTGAGCTGACCAAATTCGACACTGTTTCCTGAAAAAATAGAAAAAAATACTCCGTTTAGATGTCATGGGCTCGATTTTCAAGAATAGTCGATAAAATTAAGAAAACTTCAAAAATAGCACTCGTGATATCTAACTACTTTTTTTTCTACCTTTTCTCAAAACTGTTGAATTTGGTCCACCCCATACGAATTATAAATAACGTGTGTTTTGTTTTGCACTTAAAGCAAAATATAAAATAATTGTTTATAATGCTAAACATCATATTTATTTTGCTTTCCATCTTTTTGAGAACTTAAAAATCAGACTAAGAAATTCTGTGTTTAGGCCAGAGGGGATCTGTTTTGAGGTGGATGTGAGAGGGGGCAAGCAATTTTTTTCTGGCTTACCTTCAGTACAACTCACATAATAAAAGTGTAGATCCCTAGACCTGGGCGAGGTTCGGAACATTTTCAAAATTGCAAAAATGTTTAAAAAATTTTAAAAAGTACATATTTTATGAGTTTTTTCTTGGAACCTATGCATTCTGGAAGAATACCGAAGAGGAAAAAAGTTTTAGAATTGAATTTTGCACAATATACTGTAAATTAAAGATGTTTAAATTTATTACCGATGTTGCAAAATTGATGAAAAAAGGCAAAATAATCTAATTTTTTTGGATAATTTTTTTGATTACTCCGAGGGCATTCTAATTTTGGTAAAAAAAACTTTAGTATATAATAAAACAACACAATACACCAAATTTCATTAAAATCGGTTTGATAGTTTTCACAAAAAAATTTTCGAATTTTCAAAATGTTGTACAGTCTCAAATAAAGCATCTAGATATTTGAAAAATTTTTCACATAGAAAAGACCGCTCAACCTTTCGAATGGTTTTTGAAAAATTGAGATCGGTTAATTAGGACGGCCACAGTAAATTTTTAAAGTTTTTAAACAATTAGATTGCATTTATCAATTTGCAATTGAGTTTTCTTCAAAAATTATAATTTTAAAGTACTTGCTTCTTTTTTAAAAAAAAGTTAAATTCCGCTGATTGGTTCTCGTGATATAAGCGGTCAAAGTTTATCGACATTTACCGTTAATTTATAAACAATTTAGCAATAATCTTTGATCCAGTGGTTTTGTTATAATTTTTGAAAAAAACTAAATTGCAATTTGATAAATGTAATCTAATTGTTTAAAAACAAAAAAAGAGTGTTAACTTTAAAAATTTACTGTGGACGTCCTAATGAACCGATTTCAATTTTTCAAAAACCATTTGAAAGGTTGAGCGGTCTTTTCTATGTGACAAATTTTTCCAGTATCTAGATGCTTTATTTGAGGCTGTGCAACATTTTGAAAATTCGAAAAATTATTTTGGGAAAACTATCAGACCGATTTTAATGAAATTTGGTGTTGTTTTATTATACTCTAAAGTTTTTTTTACCAAAATTAGAATGCCCTCGGAGCAATTAAAATATTTAAAAAAAATTATCCAAAAAAACTTGATGATTTTGCCTCATTTTCATCAATTATTGCTATTTTGCAACATTGGTAATAAATTTAAACATTTTTAACTTACAGTATATTATGCAAAATTCAATTTTAACACTTTTTTCGTCTCCAATATTCTTCCAAAATACATAGGTTCCAAGATATAAGTAAAAAACTTAGATAAAATAGTTATTTTTTTTTAAATTTTTAAACATTTTTGCAATTTTGAAAATATTCTGGACCTCGCCCAGATCTAGGGATCTACATTTTTATTATATGAGTTGCACTGAAGGTATTCCAGCAAAAATTAGCTTGCTCCCTCTTACATCCAAGAAATGGGATATTTCAATTGAAACCGCATAAAAACACTTAACTCATAAATTCTACGGAATCCATAGGCGTCCAGAAAAATTTTGCCTTGTCTCGTCTAGATATACTATATTCCAAGTTATATTCCTTTTTCGTTGTCGATATTCTCTAATTTTTTGGAAGTAATCTTCCCGAAGTGCAACTATACGTCGTGATTCCATAATTACCATACGACTGTCAAGTTTCTTATGTTTAAAACCGCATTGTAATAAAACATGTCGTAAAATATCTAAAGAGTAGGAACTTTATTTTCTTTATACATCTCTGGTAAAATCGTCAATATTCTTTTTATATTTTCCCGTTTCCTCTTTGTACAGTGATCAATAACGTCTCTTTCTTTAATTAGCGCGATAAATTGTCATTTTTGGTATCTTGGTTAATTCGGTAATACGTTTCCTAATTTCTTTTTCACGTTGTTCACTATTTTCTATTTTCAAACATTCATATATATTTAAAGTAATACGTTGACTTTGTATGTGTAAATCTTTGTTTTTAAACTCTGAGTTTGTTTCGATGCTTTCGACAAAAACCGGTTTGACTATTTGGGAATTTTCCCACTGAACTGGCAAAGCCAAGTGAACCCACTCGACACCAAACCACAACATACTATACAAAAAGTTATTTACGACCTAATGGACCAATACAAGATTCAGAAGAAGTGCAGACGGTCCTGTGCTTTAAGTTTCACAGATTCCAATTGAAATCGTAACAACTATACTATAACTGGCGCTGGTGAGTCATTAAAATAATCAAAGAAATAAGATTAATAAAAACTTTAAGGGCAATTAGGAGGAAATAGTTAAAAAATCAGACCTACAAGGTCGTTATTATTTATCTGAAATAACAATTTTAAGATTTGCCATCAGGTCTGAAGAAAAATTAAATGTAAATATTTTGCAGAATTACTGAAATCATAAAAGCGATGTATGCAAAAATATCGATGTGCAATTAAAGAAAAAAAATTTTAAAAATAAAAAAAATTACTTGTAAATAAAAAAATACTGAACTTTTTTCTTTTTCAAAAGACCTCTAATACATATCAAATTATTTTTATTGTGTCCAAAAATTGCATAAATTTTTTTATAATCTACTGAATGTCTACCAAAGATTTAAGTTTTTGAAGTAATCTAATTTAAATGTGTATGAAATAACGTGAAGGCAAAACGTTGCTACAAAATTAGAACGGAACATAACGTGTCTCAAATAAAGGAACGTTTTCCTCGTTTAAATTTAATACTTTCTACTGTCCTACTTTTATTCTTGAAGCTCTCAATTTTGAGCCGCAGGGTGTTAAAGGAGGAAGACAAATAAATGATTATGAGCCACATAACCGCTGAGCTTAGGCAACCAACATTGCGTTATTGGCACTGTCAACTAAAAATCACCAGTATTAATGATTCGTTTACAATAAAAAATTGCAAGCTGTTGCATCTACGCTTGAGATAATACATTTGCCCGTGAAAAAGAATGTTGTATTTCAACGTAACCTTGATCTTATTGTTTCCATAATTTTTAATTTTACCGCAATTTAATTGCCAAAGCGAAGCAAATAAAATTATTGTATCCAACAAAATTACTGGTCACGTGGCTTGTAATCATTTATGGAAGAAAATGTTCTTAAATTTGAACAAGGAATGAACTTCTTATTTGATAAATTGTTGTGTTCCACATATTCAGTCAACTTTCACCATCAATTTATTTTTTTTACTTTGTTGTCAAACAATCACAGTAGCGTTAAAATAGAAAGTCATATTTAGATATGTTTCGTATAAAAATTGTGACGACTTGTTTGGTAATACTCGTTTACCTCTAAATTTCTATTGAATCGTTTATTGTTGTCAATTTTTGAAAAAAAAAAACCATTTCATCGGTTTGAATCTATCTAAAGTTATATTTATAGAGTAAAAGCAATGAGATAGAAACGTTGAGAATTGCTTTTTTTTCAGTTCAGTTTTGAAAACAGAAAAACTACTCTTTTGAAAACGTCAACTATATGAATCCTTAATATCCCAAATTCTAAACAAGTCACACACTTTTTTTATCGATTAAAAACCTTATGTGAAAAACTACGAGAACATACCCAGTGTTCAAGTTTTTGTGAAGGAAACCCCCTTTTGTACCTTGAAATAGTAAATAAATCTGTTAGATTTCTTACTTTCGCAACAAATAGTACAATTCATATTAAATTTTATTGTATTAATTCACTTGTTCGGTGTTTATAAAGTAAAATGGATTTATCATCGAAGTTTTACATTTTCGCACAAAACGTAGATGATTTTTTTTATATACTCTTAAGGGGTTGTACCTAGTCGGGATGGAAAAATTACTTGACTTCATTAATATTTTTGGTCGATTTGGTCGATAAATATTTATGGAAAACTTTTAATAACACAGGCCGACAATTTTCAGAACCAGAAACCGGACCTAGTATACCCGAAGGATTTTCGTGTGCTGATTATGAATCCCAGTTCAGAATTGGCCCATCACCCTAGGTTCTCGAAATATTCTAACCTAAAAGTGCAAAAATGGCGGTTTTTTGCTATATCCGGAGTCAGATTACAACGTGAATAAATTTTTTTTCTTAATGCGCGTTAGACTATCTCAAAGTACCACTCTTGCCCTTCTAAGTGCACTTAGATTTTTTTTTTAATCTTTTTCCATAGAGATATGATACATTGAAGTTTAGTACTTCAGCGATTTCGTTACACGCAATTTTTTCCACTTTGAGGTTAGAATATCTCGAGAACCTAGGGTGATGGGCCAATTCTGAGCTCGGATTCATAATCCGCCCATCAAAATCCTTCGGGTACACTAGATCCGGTCTCTGGTTCTGGACTATCGTCAGTTTTGTCAGCCTGTGTAATTGTAATAATAAAAGTGGCATTTACAAATCGCTTTAGGCAAATGTCGTAGGAATATGAAGTTACCGATTAAAGAAATCTTTACCACTAGCGCAATTTCTTGTCTATAAAATGCCGGCCTTAAAGTTTCAAGTCTGAATTTTGTATTTAGGATTTTTTTTTAACTTACATCGAATCATCGATTCCAGGACGATAACAGGGTTTGCATCCACTATGATTACCAAAATATCGAGTTGACGGTGCCTTCGAGCTATAACTTTTGAATGAATACTACAACCCTTCTGAAATTATGATCTACTCAAAGAATATGCAAAAAAAAATTGATTTTTTTTTCCAACTAACCCGATTGGATATAACTCCTTAAGAAATACAATCGCATCGTTGAAGACGAGCACAAAATAGCATATCACGTCTTTTCCCGATCCTCCTTTG